GAAGAAGATCACGCATGGTGTCTTCACCCAAGACGTCTCCGAATATATCCGGGACAATCGTAATGGGACGTACACAGTGTGCTATAGCCCTTTGAAGACTGGAGCTGCCTTTGTGTCGGTAAAAGTTGGATGTGAACATATCACAGGGAGCCCATTTGAAGTACAAATCAAGGAACGCAGGTACGAGGCACAGTGTTTAATAGGAAAGAAAGGAAAAGGACATGGAAATTTCGATGGTCCATGGGGTGCTGCTGAAAACAGCAAAGGTGACATCTACATAACTGATCGAGACAACAATCGCGTCCAAGTCTTTGACAAGCATAAAACCTGGAAACTAACTTTTGGCGAATTTGGATCTGACGATGGTCAACTGATACAGCCAAGAGGCATTGCCGTTGATCGTCACGATGACGTCATTGTTGTTGACAACGGTAACAACCGAGTCCAAATCTTCGACAAAGATGGCAGATTCAAAATGAAGTTTGGAGGGCCTGGTATAGAGGCCGGACGTTTTCAAAATCCATACTCGGTGGCGATAGATGACGATGAAAACCTAGTCGTCAGCGATGTCGATAACCAAAGAGTACAGATATTTAATCGATGCGGTGAATACGTGAGGTCCTTTGGACAGGGCAATATAAAGAAGTCTTGTTATTGTATTTATCACGAGGGGCAGTATATCGTCTCCGATTCTGAAAGTTACTGCGTTAAATTCTTTGATAAAACTGGACAATTTCTACACAGTATTGGTAAACAAGGAATGAGAAACGGAGAGTTCGACAAGTGGATTCGTGGACTCGCCATTGATAAAATTGGTAATTTGCTGGTGTGCGATTCTTATGCTGATCGAATTCAAGTTTTCCGTCCTGCTGGCACGTCCTTTGAATACGATTCCAAGTTTGGAAAAGAAGGAGGAAAACTGGGAGCGTTTAGACAACCAACGACCGTAACCGTACTTCGAAATGGCCGGTTTGTTGTTTGTGAATTCTATAACAGCCGGGTTCAAATTTTTTGACAGACAATGCAGCGATAGCCGCGCATTTGACTCTACAATCTTGAAATAATAGGTGAACAATTCACATTCACGATCAAGTTCCCTTCCCGTTTTTATCATTTTATCGTTCCTTTTATCATTTTTTTATCATTCCCTTCCCGTTTTTATCTACATTGAGGACTTCTATGAATATCTCGACACAACGAGGGGCGTCTTTGGATTCCCTGATATAATACATACTTTTTTGTGATCTATTAGAATATATATATCTTTAAACTCAACGTGTCCTGAAATAGTTGTATATAAGAGTGGTGTTATCGTTTGGGTGTTAACCAACAAAAATATTTTCATATTCTGTAAGTTAAAATTTCACTATGGGTGAGTGGGCGCATCCTCTTTCCAACAGACTGATGTTTAGAATTTTTTTATAAAACTAAGAATGTGATTCTTTCACTTCTGGAAATCCTAAAATAACCGTCTTCATTTGGTATATTGATTTTTACTTTTCGTCTGGTATATCAAAAAGATCAAAATTCAAGTAAAATTAACTAAAAGCTAGCCTATACACCATTTTAATAAGTCCCGAGGTATTACTTTCTCCGCACTTGACGTCAAATTTATTCTTTTGAATTCCTTTAGTATTGTAAAAATTTCAAAAGAATAAATTTGACGTCAAGTGCGGAGAAAACAATACCTTGGGACTTATTAAAAGGGTGTATANCAACCGAGTCCAAATCTTCGACAAAGATGGCAGATTCAAAATGAAGTTTGGAGGGCCTGGAATAGAGGCCGGACGTTTTCAAAACCCTTACTCTGTGGCGATAGATGACGATGAAAACCTAGTCATCAGCGATGTCGATAATAAAAGAGTGCAAGTATTTAATCCAAACGGCGAATACGTGAGGTCCTTTGGACAAGGTAATATAAAACGTTGTACATATTGCATATACCACGAGGGGCAGTACATTGTTTCGGACTCTGAAAGTTATCGTGTCAAAATCTTTGACAAAAAGGGACAATTTCTACATAGTGTTGGTAAACAAGGAACAAGAAATGGAGAGTTTGAGAAGTGGATTCGAGGACTTGCCATTGACAAAACTGGAAATTTACTTGTTTGCGATTCTTTTGCTGATCGAATTCAAGTTTTCCACCCTGTCGGTTCGTCCTTTGAATTCGATTCCACGTTTGGGAAAGAAGGATCAGAAGTTGGAGATTTTAGGCGACCAACGACAATAACAGTACTTCGAAATGATCAAATCATTGTCTGTGAATTCGTTAATAACCGAGTTCAGATATTTTGACAAACGGCTTGGTATTAAACTCTATATTCTCATTCACTTTAAAATTGATCTTGAGCTGATGGATGAACAATGGACATTTTTCCTTCAAACTTGGAGGCTGAGAAAACGAAATGCACAGAAAAACCGTGATGGCTATAGCAACAAGGCAGGCAGTTTACAGGAAAGTGAGTGAGTGAGTGACAGATTTTCCCACTACAATACTCTTCGATTGCTAAAACCATAGTTAACTATGCTAAAACGCAATCTCCGAGTTAATAATTAATAGTAATACAGAAAGCAATAAAGATAAAAAAAATCATGAATTAAATTTATTGATATCTAATCCACTGACTTCTCGCCGATAATGTGGATTGTAGCAATGAAAATAATTATGGACGAATTTTACGTAACACTTGCCATCTGGAAAACACACCCCTTAACACCAATAGGAAGTAACCAGTACGTAGCTTCAAAGTCTCTTGTGTATTACGTTTTGTTTTCATGAATTGTTCTTGTTCAGTGATAACTACATTGTACTATTAGATACAAACTAATAATTACTATAGCATCCTTTGTAGGCAACTCCACTCCGTGGGGCTCCTGTGTTTTAAAAGGCAAAAAAATCTGCCGGAGGGGGAGGGGGTTAGGAAGGATACCAGTTCTTCTCAGTCAAGATTATGAACACAGGAAGAAGAGAAAAATGTCCGTTTCCGTTGGAGTGATTGTTTCATGGTACAAGAAAAACCGGAAGTTGTGTAAAGAATCTTTAAAAACCGAATGCATTATGGGCGTCCTGTTGCTGGATTGCGTGACCAGACTGTTCTACCGTCTCGGAACTGCTGCTTTCCATTTTGGTTTTGTAGGAGAATTTACTCATAGACCTATTTATCCGCGAGAAAAAGTCAAGAAAGAAACCAAACTGAGTTTTTAAAGATTCTACTTAAAGAATCCTAACAGTTTTTGATTGATTAATACTAGAAACTTATATATGCGACAATTAGAGACGCAACGTCCAAGTATATGCAAGGTATGCGTGAAGTTAACATCGTTACTTGCTTTGTTCGATGTAAAAGTGACGAAAGTGTAGTTTTTACTCTGCTTCTTGTCGAGAAGAATCACAAAGAAATTATAAAGTCACAAGGGATCGTACACTCTCCATTTGCTCCTATCAGACGTATAGTAGACATACTTATGCACCAGTCAAAGTAATCCCCCCCCCCAACCCGGGACAGGGTGGGGACTATGTGGGTCTTGGGATCACATTTGACCAGCAATGATGCCCAAGGGGGTGGGGATAAAGTGGATATTTTAGTGAATATGATAAAAGTGAATATTTTAGTGAATATGATAAAGTAAATTTTTTATTAAACTCATGAGAAATCCTTTGTTGAAGTTTAACCAAGATGCATGCTCTGATAGATATATTGCAAATTTAGAATTTAGTAAAGCTATTWGTTGATCTTTTAATTGTAACCTTAGCCTAATACTCTGTCCAAATCTGGATATATCATATTTGCTTGTAATAAGTCACTGTCACGTCCGTCATTTTGCATTGTTTCATTATGGAAAATATTTGGTGCATCAATGTTTAAAAGAGTAMATTATAGAGGAGTAAAGAGAGGCTTTTCTAAATTCATACAGAAGGTTGCCATATGTTGTAAGTAAATAAAATATGAGCGGGAGACCTTTATGGGCTTAAAATTGCGAGCTGCAAGTGAGCAGTTTTATAGCCCATAAAGGTTGGACGCGAATACTTTGTATTGCTTATCAAATTCCAACGTAAAGTAAAGCATATTTTGAAAAAAACTTCAGGAAAAAAATATCATTTGTAAGAGAAAATCGAAGTTAAAGTTGTATGCAAATCAGGACAAATTTCTTGCTTATATAAAGATGCAGTTACGGCAATGATTTTCCATTGTGTTTAACTTATGAATTATTAATGAATTTGATAATGAGCTTTAGAAACTCTTTTTATTATGTTGATCAAGATTTTTTTCAGACTGTAATTTTTTCTGAGAAACACAAGAAAAGTTGCAATCTTCAAAAATATTAGGATACACTTTGAGAAGCATACTTTACAGGTATGTGCAAAAGGTTTTTTGTAGCTTCATCTTCAAATGAAATATCTGCAATAACAATTTGAGTCCAGAAATTGATAACCTTTCTGAGACCACTTCAAATAGTCTTGAAACTTCAATGCACCTCTAAACTAGGTACTCAAACTTACTATTATATATAGCTATTTTATTAATTTTTCTAGCRTGCTAAGTGTCATGTTTACAGAACAAGAGGGCATGTTTTATTGGGATACTATAATGCATATTAAACTTCTAATAAGCATGTGCATTAATGCCACAATTGTAAAATTTTTGATCCCATACAGGAGAACAGCTAGTCTTTGCAAATCAAAATAGACCTAATCGGCTTCAACCCAATTCAAACCACCCGGGAGTAAGATTCATTGTTCGTTGTATTTTCATTTAACAGTTGAATTCTTAGAAACAAAAGTTCTTTTTCCCACAGGATTTGAATTGGGTGGCAACGTACATAGCAACGCCGTTAGCCGATTAGGTCTATTGCATGTCAATTTGCTAGTTTTGGGTTGTGATAAAGTGCTGATGAACTTGAACATCAGTTCTTATATCTGATATAGAACTGATTAATGAAACATCAGTTCTATAGTCAGTGATACTCAGTGTAACATAAGCAATGTGATCCAATAATTAGATCTTCATGGGACTAATTCCTCATGAATTATTAATGCTTCTAGAATTAGGATGCTTGTGAGCGTCACTATAATGACATTGAGATGAATAGCCTAAAACAGAAATGCCAAGAGTTATGCTGAATTCATGCTGAGNCTTAAATTTGATGTAAATTTACATCAAATTTACATCATTTTGGACACTTGCATAATATTTACATCAAATTTACAACCTTTACAGCGCGCGATTTTTTCCAGTGTATATACGAAACGAAGGTTATAGGCCCGTTTCAGACGTCGATATTTTGCCGCGTCTAATCTTATTGCTTACATGCAGTTCTCAAAGTTTGCAGTCTACATCGATTGATATTTTGATATATATTTTTTTATTATAGTAAGTTTGYCCAACTGAACAAAATCTACTAAAAATGTCAATAAATTCAGAGTACAAAATGCTCATAAACTCAACTCCACCAATTAGATTAGACTCGTCATAAGATCGACGTCTGAAACGGGCCTTAGTTCTTTCTTATAAGAGTCAAAAATGAGAAAGGGATTATTAAGCGATTTTAAAGCGGTCTAAAGTGTGAAATTCAAAGGAACATTTAAGCGGCAGTCGATTCCTTCTCAAAAATACTTTAGGAGCGCAAAGGATCAACTTGAAACATCGTTAAAAAAGGTGAAGATTATAAGTCAGGTATATATGTATTTTAGGTAGTTATGAAGAAGTAGAAATAAAAGTTTTAAAAATCTTACCGTATAGCAAGTTGGTCTATTTCTATTTCTAGCTTTTTTCCCTTTTGTTTCTTCTATGTTGTTGTTTATTAGCCAAATTTAGTCATCAATTCAAAGTATGAAATATAACACTGACTAAGTACAAAATTGTATTAATTTTCAAAACACTACAAAGTTAATGGAGTTTCATTGAATATTGTTTACCAATGCATAACTATATATATATAACTCTATACAACTTAAAGATCTGAGTTTCTTTATGCATCCGCAGGTCAAGTTTCTTTGACAAAGAAAACCGAGCACCCGAGCTGCGTCATCGGGACTTCAACTATTTTCCCCGCGTCTGCATCCGGGTAAATTTATCACTAATTTCCCTCAGTTCCATGGAATTGCTTATAATTAGTATGCAAGCGTCTTGAAAAAGATATATTTTTGGAGAAAGTAGTGTAAGTTGTCCTAGACTATCCCGTTCCCACAAACTGACAAACCTAAAAACGGCTTTATGATATCGACCGATTCAAATGGTGGCCAATTTGCATAAGAATTGTATTCTATTCTGATTAAGACAAAAGATTTTGGCATTGATGAGTAGCCATTCGTTTTAGAATAACAGTTATTCAAATCGCCCCGCCTTTTTTCGAATCGGTCTTTCGGTCTGTAAAATGCAGTGTGCGAGGACTTCAACTCCCATCATGCCTTGTTATACAAAGTGACTTCTCTACGCGCATTGCCTATTGGACCGATCAAATCACACGTAAAAACTAATCTATATTATAATTAACTTCGAATTAACTTCTTTTCTTCAATGAATCCTTTTTTGTACCGTTACTTCGAAGATGCTCATTTTACATATTTGTTTTAGTGATTTCATTTGCTTAAGGGCCTCTAAAAAGTAGGGTTGAAGTCAACTTTGACGCAAGGGATGAACTTCCAAGCCCTTTGACTAGAGAAATGCGGGAAACTAGAAAAAACAAAACAAAAACAAAAAACAGAACACTGAGTGATATAAAGGATGACCGGAACGTCTTCTATAGTCATGATAATTGTATGCCACCTTTTTATAGCCAGGTGGGCATTACAAGGAATCGCCATTCATTGTTAGTAGCTTTCTTTACATAGCCTCAAGCACGTAGTCAACAGCGGAAACCTTTCATTTACAATCAACAAATATGAATTAAACCTGAATAGCTGTATGTCAGAAGTACATAGCCTGTATGTGAGCTTTCAATTATCTTCGAGAAGGCAAAATTCAAACATTTGGTTCAATATTTTTCGAATCAGTAATGTTTTCTGATTGTATAAGTTGAAATCAATCTTTGTAATACGTAACCATAATATCAGGTTAGGACAAGGACAAAATGCTATTTATTTGATTTTTATCCTATTTTTTTCAAGGCAAAATACAAATCATTTTCTTAGCTGATTCGCTCGCATGACCTTTATCAATATAATATTTAATCGTATTTTTTACCGTTAAATTTCMTTTTCATTTTCAAATTTTTGTTTTAAGTTAAGGTGAGATGCTATTTCTGTACATGTAACTATGCTCCATTCATCCATGTGCTTGCCTGTAGATAATACAGTTGCTTTATAAGCCCAGCACCTATTAAACTACCCGTCTCAAACTAACGACTCAAGAGCCTTCAAGAATGAACTTCTGATGAAAAAGAATTCTGAGAAATCGATAAGCATCAAAAGCCTTAAATGGAACAGTAAATAGATGTTAATTTCGATAATTATCATGTGTGCACTATAGCAACCAACAAAAACAMTGACAATAGCTTTTCCAAACAAGAAGAAAAAAACTACGATATTGMMGGCATACGCAAAAAACTATCGTGAAAAAGAAGTATAGAGAGCTCTACCAAGCTTCTTACTATTAAAAGACCTTACTCAAATAACCAAATCAAACTCAAATACTTCATGAGATGGCTTATTAGAAAAAAATATATGTATGGTAATGTTCACTCCTATATGTGAACGGAAAGCAAAAGTCTGCATCAAATCAGCACTAATAGTCTAATGGGGGAACATCTTGCCGTGTGTTTGTAAACACTTAGAAATAGTCTATGGTGATATAACACTTGGCATAGGTTTTGCAATGGATGATTTTCAAGTTGAAACGTTTCTTGTGATGATTTTGTACTTGACCCTACTCTACGAAATCATCGACGGCCTAAAGAGACGACATCCCTTCGTTGTAGAAAAAGAAGAATGCATCATACCACGGCAAGTCAGGCGAACTGGTCAATTGTCTGTAAAAATGACCGGAAATCACTTCCATTCGAAACCGCGATATGCAACTAGCGGACCAAATAAAAGTAGCAGACGAATCTTTCAGATGAGGATGGTCAGTAGGAGTTAATTCTATCATCGACCAACATGGTACATCATTTTTTACATTCAAAGCGTGTTATTTTCAATTYCTGATAGAGAACCTAGCCGACAGATATTCTGTTGTACTATTGCAAAATACAGGGTGAAAAATGTTCAGAATACAACTGAATTACAGCAYTGATGAAGGAAATCGCAGCAAATGTTTACAGAGTCTAATTGGTAACCTCTTGTAATAGCAACGTATCGTTTTGACGATGTTGAACTCATTTTATATTTACGCTCCCATCTATAGTAACCGCATTTTATTCCTTATCGACAACACAGTATAGACACAGATTATTATACATAGAAAATGTATCAAAAAATTGACGATGTAAAGATTGAGCGGCAATTCCTATTTGGAGAGTATTCGTGTTTTTTTTCACAACAAAAGCGGCTTTTGCAAATCAAATATATAAACGTCAGTAAATCTCGAAGGAAAGTTTGGTGAGTGAAAGTTCATATTCAGGACTTCTAAACTTCACCTTTTATTATTTATTATTTATTCAATACTCAACTGACTTAATGCTACAAAATAAATCGAATTCACAACAAATATAATTTATACAAGACAATCATATTTAGCAAGAGGTTTTTGTAAAGGAAGTGAGAGATATCGAGATCAGTTGGTCAAATTTAATTTTGCAAARAAATATATGATAAATAGARGATATTACATAGGCGCGCGGACGGATTTTATCTTCGAGTGTTGAAAAGATCTCTCACGAGTGAGCGTGTTTACAGCGTGGATCACAAAAAGACTGTCTTTTATATGATCCATGGTTACAGTAGTTTGAAAAGAGTACCTTGGGCACCTTAGATACGTATCGGGRATTTTTATAACATAAGGCCAATAAACTTCACCAGTACCATATGAAAATCAGTCTTTTTTTTTTAATTGCCATCTTGCTTGAAACAATGATTTGATTTTTGTCTAATTCGTTCTATTACCAAAGAATTGAAGCCTCAAATACTTTTTACATTCCAATCATGCATATTGTTCATGGTTCTTTTCAAACCGACTGTCAAAAGTTCTGGATTTTTTTTATGGAAATGTACCATGAACCCTGTTAKAAGCATTTTGCCATGTTTGCATTACTTTCTTATTCAATTTTTTTAAAAATTTGTTTGCTGGGGTAAACCTTGTGAATCRAACCTTGTAAACAAGTGAGCACGAGATGGATTTTAGCTTGCTAGCTTGCGTAGCCAGTCGCTCCTATTCACTCCAAGTAATTGGGCCGTTTCTACGGAATCAAGTATCTCGACTTGAAATCACTCTTCTATGGTGCCATCATCCAAGCGAATTTGGGAAGGATCTATAGGCGCAGCCGGACATTAAATGGCATTATGAAAGACATGAAAATCAAAATCGGATGTGTCAGTTTTTGAAAGCAGTTTTGTGATTGTGCTGATTCTTTTCCTARAGACATCTTGCTTTCATGAAAAACTAGAAATGAACAATTTATATCTAAACAAGAAAACACAAGCGTGCGCTTTTTAGAAGTGAGCCTGTTCAAGCGTCTGCARRAAGTTCCTAGTCGCTCCAAGTGAGTTTGGAGCGTTTAGAGATGCCGKGCTACGAAGGATAGATGGATTTCTGTGGATACTTCACACAAATCTGCGCGCATCAAACCTACAATTGTTCARCCAAAAAAAACCTTTGGACYATAGAATTATTTGTCTCGAGCCTAACATCTTTCTCCTTTATTTTTTCACAGTTCTCCCCTTTATTCCYCTTTCATCAATGTTGGGTCTTGTTTTGGATGGTTGTGTATTATGGTAACATGCTCAATGACAACATTGCATTAAAGGGGTCAGGGGGAAATGGAATTGTTTGTGGGCAAGGGTTTTGTCAACGATTGTAGGTCAACGAAAGAAAGAAACTTTAACAAAATGTTTGAAAAGTACTTTGTGTACTGCTAAACCCAAAYAGTTTCGTTTTCATGCTTAGCCATAAGGGAAGGTACGTTTATTACTGTTGGGGGTCAGTGAAACTATCGCTGTTTCATCGTTAGTTTGAAATATTTGCACAATATTTGCACAAGCTCAATCACCTACTGCGGAAAAGACAATTATCATCCCAAAGCAAGTACAGTACGGCTTCCAAAAAATGTACTCATACAAGGCAATCGAGCGAAAAATGAAAAAAAAAATGAATAAAGAGTATTGGTATCCCAAGATACATTGCAAAGCGATTCGAAATGGCGGGCTTGTGTTCACCTGACCAACCTCGTTCCCAGGGCCATCACGGCTGACTCCTTTTCAAGATGGCGGTCCAACCAAGTTTGCCCATCCAACAGCAGGGACATTTTGCCTACAACGTGCTTGTGTTTAAGCGAAAATAATGTCTTATCTGGAAATGAAAGGGATCTTCCACACAGGACACGAACGGCTGAACATTTTGCGCGCAGTTCCCTGCCCGAGATGGCCCTGGGGACGAGATTGTCTTGATTGTCACATGACCAGTACAGTTTATCGGAATATGCATGTAAACAGATAGTGGTCACGAGATTGTCGTGAGAGTAGTGCCCTTTGAACAAGGAAAAAGTCTCCAAATTCTCTTTATTTTGCCATGAAGAAGCATAGAAAAAGTTCACACATCTTAGTAAGTAATATAAACGAAATGTGTGCTGCTATATTTTGATATTTTAATCTGGATCTTTTTAAACTTTAAGCTTAAGTTATCTTTGTCGAAAATGCTCGTTGTCGTTTCTTTAGCATTAAAATGGACTCGAATTCGATTTGTCTATTTAAAGACGGATAATTAACTAATGATATAACATCGAAATTGCAATATCTCAAAAATGTTTTATAACCCAGATAATATAAATAATAAAAAGTCTTAAGCTTACGTTTTAAATGGCTTCAGAAAACCACTTTCTTCAAAATGTAAGCTTTACGTAAACTGCCTCTTTCTATATTAACTTCAGTATTATAACTAAAGTTACATGATTTCTGTTTGAAGTCGAAGGCTGTGAAAGTTGATGTCAGTAATCCAAGAATACACAACTGTGACAAGGGAAAATACGTTGATTATGAAGTCAAAATTGAGGTTAGTGTCTCAAGAATTTTACAGTAAGCTTAATGATCATCCTAGGTTTTATATTCGCAACAATAATACTGCGGCATTCCTTACAAACAATTTTCAGACCTTTCATTAGTTTTTTTCCTGGTAAAATGGATGACTAAATGTGCATCTAAAAGGAACAGAAATGTTTCATTTTCCACTTACATGTAGTTTCCATATTTGGAATCAAATGGAATGGTGAGAAAAGAAATAGAACTTAGTCGGTAAAAAGACATGTTAATTTGTTGGATAAAGGTCATTGGCAGGACTGTCAAACCTCACTGGTCATCTTTCAAAAATGAAATGATTAAATTGTAGTGTGTAAAGGACAAAAGTACCTCAAAAGAACAATGAGGGTTCTAAGTCCTTTGAGGTCTCTGCAAAAGAAATTTCTACGACATAAATCTAACATCAACTATTATATTCTCTTTCCCTAGACAGATAATATAGCTTTCTCCAGAAAGAATTCTTGTGTAAGAAGAAGATACTCTGATTTTATATGGATAAGAAACAAGCTCTCAACACAAGAGATCAGTGGCTTTGCAAGGTTATTACATCTTACATGATTCAATGAGTAATAAAGGAATTCTTGTAACTATAATTTTTGTTGGTACACTGCCATTAGTGTCTTGTTCYGGTCTAATCCCTCATTAACAAAAAAATTATCATCTCAAATCCTGCAACATACAATGTAAATATAGCAAATACCAGGCACCACTGAAACGTTTATCAGTTGTGTTCTCAATGTGAATTGCAATGTGAATTACCTCTCAATACTTTTCAATACACATTTAAAAATGTATTATTTTAGTGGTTAGTAAGTGTAATAGCCTGTCTCTCAATGCCATAACCAGAAGAATGTTTTTCTACCTTGCAAATYGATACTGCATAAAACGATGGCYAATCTTGTAAACTGCAACCTCCCTGTCTATTGTGCTATTGGTGACTTCATGTTTTAAATGTCATGAATAATTACTTATAATTTATATKTGATAAAATGTTTTTGAAAACTACAGTCTACAGTATTTGTCTCCTTCATGTATCAAAGTTTGTCTTTTCAGTAGTAGTGATTAAAGTACAGCTGAAAAGCTTGTTCCATTTGACAAGCRCAGATTTTGTGTGTATTGCAAGCATTCGGGTGTACTAATACTCATATAGGTTGGCCAAATGTAAATGTGTGTGTAACATAACTGTCCATTAGATTTTTGTACTGTAACTATTACATATTCAATAAAAAAGTATGTATTTTTTTATTTGCAGTGATTATCCAGTTCCTGAGCTTCCACCAAAGAGATTGTTTGGTCGCTTTGAACCAAAGTTTGTTCATTCAAGGATGTGTGGACTAAAAGAATTCTTAGAAAAGTAAAGAAAATATGTGACAATCAATAGAGAAATCATTATTTGTGATGAATACTAGATGATACCATGATGGTTTTGTGAGATTATTAATCTCTTTAGTCTAGCCTCCTCCCCAGGCAACTCTTTTTTCCTCTTTTGGGCTTCCTTTGTAATGTTCATCTTGGTCACTAGCTTTTCTTGCCCCCACTCTCCCTCTTTTGACTCCCAAAAAAGACAGGAAACCTGTGATTCTTTGTGATGCCTACGGAGGAGGCTAGCTTTAGTCATTGTTGTTCATATTTTTTTCAGAGTATTGAATCAAAGGCATTTTTTATCATTTGTTGGACTTCATCTCTTCCTACAAACAGAAATGTCAATGCACCAAATAGAGAATTATGTAAATGGTAATTATGGACAAGAATACACAGTAGAGGACTTAATACATTTATCAGAATCAAATCAAATAGAAAAAGCTCTGGATACATGTACACTCAAGTCATGCTATAATGTTGTTATTTCGGACTTTGATACATTTGTAATGGTCAATAGTAATGGTGAACAAGATGATGCCAAGTCATTCCATAGTGCAAGCATGGGTTCCATAGACAGCAACTCAAGTATTAACACCACTGGTTTATCAACTATAGGTGCAAAGGACTATTCYGTCTGTATTCATTGTTCTGTAAAATAGCCTAAAGAAATGAGTGTACATCACTTGGCAAATCTAAAGCATACTAGTACGTCTTGTATTACAGTTGATGCTTTATATGAAATTTTCAAGAATGTTATTTTCCACAAAGTTAGCTAATCATTTCCATTGTTCTCATTAACTGAAGGGAATTTGCCCTAACAAGTCATGCAAAGTTATTTCTATTTGCAGTATTAAAATTATAATTTAATACTTTCTAAAGAATTATTAATTTATTAATTTCTAAAATGACTGGATTGCATTYGTGAATGAATCTTACATGTATAATATTTTATTCTATTTTGTAAGATTGTTTAGATTAAYATAACTATAAGATATTCATTTTGTAGTAATATTATATCTTGTAACAGTGCCATTGAATTGGACAAAAACTTTGATAATTTCAATAGTGGACTTAGTCTCACTTGAAAAGCATTTCTCCTTATAATAATTTAGATTGTGTTTACAGGCCCTCTAAGGAGAGAGTGTTTTTAAAACCCTTGAAGCAAACAAGTTGTATTTTAGTAAATTCTCCCCTAGAGAAMTGATGTAGTTTTGTTTTCTCTGCAAAACCAACCAACCAAATATAAGTAGGACATACACATAACGGCAAAACATTAGGATTCACCTTGGAGATTTGTTTTTATTCAAACAYAAGGCTGTAAGCCTTAATATAAAACCCTTGTTGCAAGACAACCTTTTTGWATAATAGCTGTAGACAAGTAAAGATTCATGTAATTTAAACATCTATGTTTCAATAAGAGGAGTACTGAACTTCAAAGTTTGGGTTTTTAGGACAAATTTCCATTTGAAATTTATGTTTATTTTTTAAGATTTTTGAAGTATTATTAAAAGTGAACATATAAGACATGATGATATTGTATTGATGAGTATATTTTGGCAAATATTATAATTATATGATATACATGTAACATCCCTAGGATTAGGKTTTTTAGTCAGAATTAAATTATTCATATCTGTACATATTGTTTATATGTACAGTATTTTGTCTGTGTGTAGAGTTGAATAAATGACAAAAATGTTGTCAAAGTCTTGACAAGAATCTCTGAAATCACTAGATTTGGCAGGGACTACTGAAATAGGGATTAAGGCAGGGGGGGGGAGAATTTCTGCTTTTCTCTTTTTCTGTTGTTCTCTAGGCACACTTGTTTTAGTTCCCTTCCTTCTTGAGTAGACAAGTTGAAATCTTCAGTACTCCTAGGTCCTTGGTCCTTGTCTATAGATTATCATCATGGTAATATCATGGCATATTTTATCTTACAGTTTGAATTATTAAACAAATTTGATGAAAAGCTGATTGAAATACCTCCCTCTTGTCTCTTCCATTTTTGCAGTGTACATTAATATGGAAACACAAAAATTAGAATTTTTTAAATTTTTTATTCGAAMAGTGCATGATTTCAGGTTTGCTTTGAACCATAGAGTTGATTTGTCTGGATGTATTCAAGGACTGAGTCTGGAAGCAGGTACTTGACACTTTCCTGGCGCCGTAGAGCAGTTCTACAAAAAATAATTAATACAACTGTAAATTGCTTGAAATCTAAAGGAAGAGCTCTACCATCACAAGCAATAAGATACAGCATGAAGTATTTTTTTCAAAAACTTCAACATTGACATAAATGAAAACTATATTGTTATAGACATCATGCATGGCATTACCATGGTAGACATGTTTGGTCCCACATGGAGACCTGTTATTGTGTAACTGAGAACAGGAAAATAAACAAAGAGCTTCTTCCAAGTTTAAAAAATTGATAAGGACAGAGAGGAAGACTGATTCCTGTAGTGTATTTAAGACAGTAATGACAACAAACTCCATTTTAATGCAATCCTTACACGMATGCATGAGCCCCTGGAACAGGGAGCACAGTAACACAACGTAAGATACAATGTACTTCACATTACTCCCCCCCCTAAAAAGAGAATTAAAGAAACAGTAAGCTAAAATGGTAAATAGGTATAATGGAATAATAAAATTTATTATTTCTTGGAGGTCTTATTAAATGTTTAGTGATCCAGTCATGTGGGACCTTCCTTTGTTGGATAGGATATCTTCTTTCTTGCTATGCATTGTTAGAAGTTGGTAGAGGACTGTTAGGTACCAGACGAATGTACACCTTAAATTTGTGGTCTGTTTCTCAACAACCACTTCATTGATGGCCATGGTTTCTGTATTTATCACCCTTTCTGTGCCAGGCTCGATCTGCCAAGACAGTAACTGGTGTTGGGATGTTAACCCTTGGTGGGCACAAATTAATAGATGTAACACTTTGCTCTGAATCATCTCCATATATGACTCTGATCAGGTGATCAACATGGACGAAGCTCTTTGATGCCCCCAACTGAACTGCATAGGTGTGGGGTCCACATACCTCATTGCACGAGCATGCAGCCAAAGCTCCTTTCCTCTATTGAAATCCTGACCCTCACCAAGTCATTGATTGGAATGACGCTCTGCAACCCTTCCCTTATGCCCTTTACTCTGTGGACTCTGCTTCTCTTTGATCAAGTTGTCCAGGTTGGGTTTCAGGAGGATAAAGCGAGTTCTGAGCTCCTGTTTGAGGAAAAGCTTTGAGGGAGTGCACCCTGTAGTCCTGTAGGGTGTCACCCAATACATCTGCAACAAAAACTGTGAGAAGCACTGGTTTAGTGTATCTGTCTTGTTGGCAATAAACTGTTTCTCCAGACCCATCTTGATGATTTGTACAGAACGATTTGCAGCCCCATTAGAACTGGGGTGATAGGGATGCATAAGCTTGTGTTTTATTCCGTATCTTTCCATGAAAAGCTTAAACCATTGTCAGATATCAACTGCTCTGGCAGGCCATAATGTCCAAAACATGATCTCAAGACACTATTGTTCTGTCAGCTGTGTCTGAGGACGTTGGAAACTTCGATCAATATTGAGCGAGCATCAAGATGAGAAACATAACCCCCCTTTTCTCTGCAAAGTCTAAATGGACCCTCTGACAAGGCCTGGTAGGCCAAGCCAGGATACTAATGGTGCTTCTGCTGGTAGRAGTCTTGTAGACTGACAAATGTCACAATCTTGGACCAACTCCTAATTTCAAGGTCTAGACCAGACACCACAGGTAACATCTAGCCAATGACTTCAATCTGATGATTCCATGGAGTTCTTCATAAAGCTCTGTTAGCATCTCTGTCGATAGGTTGGAGGAATAACTACCCGCAAGCCCCACAGGAGGTAACCATCCCCAGTAGTTCATTCATGTCTTCGTCTGAAGTAAATGGTAAGACTTTCATCAYGATTATGCTCAGGCCATCCATTCAATGTGTAGTCATAGACCTTTGCCAAAACACGGCTTTTCCCTTGTGGCTCTTCTTATCTCTTGTGAGGTGATTAGCAAAGGATGCTAAGCCAAAATATCAAACCTTACTGACAAATGTAAATTTTCATGAAAACATTGATTGATTGCAATTTCTGTAAATTTTATATTGTGTAGCACACTGAATTCTGGAATCAGTTGTTATAGGTCAATTTTAGCATTGTCCATAACTGATTAAGTCTTAATCCAGCAGATAAAATCAATAAAAAAATCTATGGACTAGATAACTTTATCCACCTSTCTTATTATAACTAAAATGTACATGTAGCTCCTGATGTGCATTCAATCCAATGATCATAATTCATTTTAATCTACTTTATTCCATACCTTATTTTMGTAGCACTAATATCATTTGTTATCCATTCTGTTACAATGTGAATGTTATTCTGTGAAGCAGTCAAAAAACACTCAGCTTGGCATGAATGGATTGGGATGAAACAAACACTGTTAAAATGAGTAGTGAAGTTGYCCTTCAGTAGCATTGTGTTGTGCAAAATGAAAAGAAAGAAAAGTTCCTCCTGATACGTTTGTYACATACATGTAGTCAACCACACTTCGGCAGGTACTGAAAACAAATCCCACCACACGAAGGTGCAATAAAAGCGACTGTCCCATCCATGAAGAGAACAACCTATGTTTTGTAAAAAATGCAGTGTACGAACTCGAATGTGAAAGATGCGAGGAGACCTAGATCTGTAGCACCATATGGCCTCTCCACGACAGAATTAAGGAACATTTCAAATCCGACTTGACCTCCTTATACAAGCACGTAMAGAGCTGCCAAACCGGCCCCACCCAGTTTTCTATCAAGATCATCGGTCGAAACAGCGATCCAGTCAGCTTAAGACTCTTAGAGGCTGCCCTGATATGCAACAAGAAGCCGAAAATAAACTCCTGCGATAAGTGAAGCGAACTCAAAGACCTATTGTTTTAACCTATTATATAACATCACCCAACACAAAAGACTCTGTACTCCTTATATTTGCATTGTAATGTAAATTTCAATCACTCTTCTKGTGATGTCGGCGACCGACAAAAGCTAGAGAAAAATAGAAGTTTTCTAAACAGTAGMGWATGGCCCAGACTTCACTCTCATTTTGCACATTGTTAAAATGAATCTCAAATCTACAAGGTAACCAGKAATGAGTGGCTTATAGTCAGTTGACCAGACACTTTGCCATCTAAATAAAAAAAAGTAAACCAAACAATTCTGCCGTCTACATGTAAGTCAGTCAGTCGAGCATCACTTGATATAACCTCTATCATAATTGAAAGCTATAATTAGTTGACGTGTACCTTATTTTCAGTTAAAACATCAGAATTGTAAATGAACTGTTCTGGATTTGATCCATATCTGTTGATAACAACAATTCCATTCTCTGAAACAATCTTTTTAATCTAAAAAAAATGCAATTTAAAATAGTTAGCTAAAGCATACAAACAACATTGAGGAACCTGTTAAATGGTTAGTACCAAATACTATTCAAAAATTTAGAGTTGATTTGAACAACAGGAAACTATTTCAATCCATGTTTTAGTATAGTTTGGTGGATGCTTAAACATTAATTAGTTCACTCACTCGGCCTCCTGGTTTAATAATTAGACAATTATTGTTAACCATTATATCACAGYTATTTCAGAAAATGTTAAATAYTGAAAAAAGTGTTTACAAGACTGAAATGTATTGTTGGTTATTCTATCGCTTTTGAAAAGACACTTTGTAGTGTCAGAGTGACTGTACCAGCTCCATGCAGCCAAAGAACTTCAAATGGGAAGCAGCTAAGTTGAGAGTTGTAATTTTGTAATTTTTAACTAAATTTAGCAATCCTCAGGTGTTCATTGGCTGACTATGAGTGAGTCAGTAATGGGACATTCCCAMCTCTGCTTCCAGTTTTTAAACTGACAAACTTTGCAGTAAAAAAACTTGCACTGACCATTGGATTGAGTTTTCAATATTTTTATGATGTCAAGATTGTGTCAATAAGAGAACATACATGCACTAGCTAAAAAAGGTGCATAATTTATTATTTAATTTGTACACTTACATGTTCATCTGACCACAAATCTGGAACTGCAAATGACTCCAATAAATCACCTCCACACAATAGCTTGACTTTGACATTCTCTATAAATCCAAACCATTTTGCAATGTATAAAAACAATTTTAACACTTAGAAGCWGCATTGAACCTTATAATTTACCTGAGTACTTTTTGCTGTATTTATCAGTCATGTAATCTAGAACATCAGCTGTTTTTGACCAGCCATCTTGATTTACTTCCCAGTCATTAACACTGTAAAGRAATTACTTAATGACTAACTAATGACTAATGATAATTGATTTATGATTAGGTAGTTCATCACCAATTATCTAAATCATTATCAATAAATTATTACAATAAAAGCTATTGTTACCTGATCCAATCAGATGTCTTTATAGCTAATTTACACATTGCCAATCGATGCTTGGACGGCAGGAGTCCCTTTTCATAAAAAAATTAAAGCATCTTTATCTTAAAAGCATCAGTTTTATCTTAAGAAAACATTAGTTAAACAAAGATTGACTAGTTTTGACTTGTAGACATTATCCATAGGCTGACATGCTAAAATTCTTTTCCACTAATCTATGATGGACTAGTATCCCATACTGTCACAGTGGGAGTGGTGATACTCCTATCTGCTTCATATATTGAACTTGAGGTCAACACTATCCTTATGAGCATTCTACCTGGTGGCTTGAAGAGAATGACTTTAGGACCCAATGAAAATGTTATGCACAACAAGTGAGTCGTTTCCTTCAGAGACAATTCCAGGCAAATTCAAAATGTTTTGTTTATCATCACAATGCTCCAAAAAAAGTGCTCATTTCTTTTCCTAGTCTAAGTGACCTTATTGTGGAGAGCTGAGTGGAGAATGGGGAAAAGATAAAGGCTACTAAGCAAGTAAGTTATTCAAACAAAATTTCCTTTAATTTCCCAGTCAAAGCAGATCTTTTATTTGCAACAGATTTTCTTTTACAAAGACATGAAAAAAATGCAGTATTTATGATATGTATGTTACGTTGTAGTTCAGGTTCAATATAATTTTGAACCAGTTTAATCTAATTTGTTCCAGTACAAGACTTCTTGTACTGGTCTTTTTTTTTTTTTTTTTTTGCTTTTGTCATTCTTAAAAGAACTAAATGAACTATATCCCATATCATTCTCTCCCATTTTCTATTTATCATCTTATTTTCTACCTTCTACTATTTCTTACTTTATCTTACCATATACCCCACAGAAATATTGATATTTTCTATATTTTTAATTTATGAATAACACTTACCTTCATCAGGGTTTGAACCACTGAACCCTTGCTTCATAGTCCACAGTACTACCAATTATACCATCAAGGATTTTGTTGGTTGTAATGTTTGCAAATTGTTTTTATCTTAATTGTAATTTATTAATGAAGAATATTTCTATATAATGCTGGCTCAACCCTATTCCCAACCCTAAACCTGACCCTAAACCTAACCCTAAACTGATTTGTACTGGATTGAGTTATATTGGACTGGCTCAAAATAAACTGAACCAGTTCAGAAGAAATTGAACTGGTTCAAAATCATATTGAACCTGAACTACAACATCAATAGGCCAATCAATAATCTGGAATTTTCTCCAAATTATATTCAGTACCTGGTCTCTTCCACAAGTCCGAGAGAGACCTGGGTAGCAGACTAATAAATACTGCAAGAGGAGACTTTCCAAATTGTGGTAATTAACTTTACATTCCTAAAAGTCTTACAAACCTTACTAGGCCTTTTAGTCTCTTTTAGTCTCAAGTTATTCAGTAAAATGCAAACTTTCAGGGTGATTTTATAGACAGCATTTTTCTACTTTCTTTTTTGGTAAATCCTTTCTGGAAGAGAATCTGTCATAAACAAAAGTATGGCTGTGTACACACCTTTTTTTCGTAAGCATCATTCACAGGTGAAATAACTCCCTCAAGAACCTTAAATAAGCCTGTCCTATGGAGAGCATCACGAGCTATTTCTATTAGAAAAACAGTGATGGCATAATAATTATCTTTATTATACATTGTACATTACATACATTGCTGTGCAAAGGCATCAAAGAATGAGTTCATTAAACTTGGTACTTTAAAATCAAACTTTGACATGACTTCTTTTGCTAAAACAATGCATCAAAACACCAAACAATAAT